CTACTGATGCTGATTGCGTCTTAGCCGATTCAATTAATCAACGCCTTTGTCATAGCCCAGACTCGATTATTTACAGACCGCCGTCATCTAACTCGAATATTACTGAGTGCGGCGTTAAACAACAAACAAACCAGCGGTATGTCATGGCATGTTGAGATTTAGTGAGTTCTTACATGTCAGAATGTTTGGAGAATAATAAAGTAATTATTTAGTTGCTTACCAATCTGAGAAAAGTGTATGTTTGTGTGAAATAAGTACATGCGAACGGTAATTGTTTGTTGTCCTTACAAATTTTATTTCTATAAAAAAAAAATACGTGGTGCCGTTTTCGTTAAAGAAGTCTGGCTCCCTTTTTCAACAGGTGCCGTTTTTTGTTGATCCCGTCGCCAAACGCCCTGGGTTTGTCCATTTATCGATTATATTGATTCCAGTTGAGAAAGGCAACTATAGTCGGAGAATGATGCTAATCTACTTTGACATCTTGTTTTCACCATGATTAAAGAAGTACTAATCAGGTGCTTTCTCAGGTGACATAATAAATTATGTCTTTTATGTGAGAGAAAAGTATATCAATTTCAGAAAAAATGTAATGATTGATTAGGACAGAGACCAAATACCGGTTTATGGTCTCTGATTAGAGGTATTGTTTATGTAGATTATATTACTTTATCGATACGCGGAAATGTTGGATTGACCTACACCTCGTTGTTTTGTGTGCTCATGTGTTGACCAACTCTTGAATTGTGGAGTTAACGTTTCTGCACATTTCATACGCAGTCCTAAGATTTCGGGGATCATGCTAAAACGGAATCGCGTCAAAACGGAATTCTCCCTGACCAAAATGGCCTCGGCAACCCGGCGAAAGCAACACGGTATATTGTGAGTCAGTTGGGTTTAAAGCCGCTTTCGACAGTATTCCAGTAATGTTACGGCGTGCCAGCATAATGTGGGAGGAAAGCCCAAAGTAATGAAGGTTTGGCTAGCCATGTCCACTATCCTATCGTTGGAATCTTCAGTTGTAGGAGGTGTTGTTGTCCTCTATTCCACGGTGGAACATTTGGTTGGTTGGTTGGTTGGTTTGCTGTTTAACGCCGCACTCAGAAATATTCCAGCAATATGACGGCGGTCTGTAAAATAATCGAGTCTGGACCAGACAATCCAGTGATTGACATCATGAGCATCGATCCAGGCAATTGGGATCGATGACATGTATCAACCAAGTCAGCGAACCTGACCACCCGATCCCGTTAGTCGCCTTTTACGGCAAGTATGGGTTGCTGAAGACCTATCCTACCCCGGAATCTTCACGGGTCTGACCATTTGGTAACCGATGTGGCACATTTCAAGGATTTCCGGCGGATAACACTGCTTACGCTGCCCTCCATCTCAGCAGATGTGCTCCATAATAAAGTGTAAACAAGTACATTTTCAATATTCTTTTTCTGCATTTTTAGATCAAAATATAGCCAATCAAAAAAGAGGACATAAGTTGATAATATGACAGCCGATAAAAAAACAAAACCAGAGGCCATGAAATAGACATTGATGGCCTCTGCAAGAATGAACAAAATCTACATGCTATGAATGAAATTAATATACTTAGTCAAATTAAAAACTTCAAATTTTTAAAAGTAATCCCATATATGATATACAAAGGACAAATGTTTCAGAGAAGGTAATTTTTAATCATAAATGTCCAAAGAAGGATTTTAATTAACGATGGTAACCATAATTTGTTCCAAGCACCTACGGTATTCGGTAATAACATCAACAGTTTAAATCATAAGTCCCAAGCACGAGAATCTGATGGCACACAAGTTCAGTAGCGTGTATGGCCACCATGTGCGTTGACAACTGCCACACAACGCCTCCGCATGCATATGGACCTTGTGATGCTTGTGAACACATGATTGGGAAGACGACGCTATTGTTGCTGCAAAATGGTGCCAAGATCTTGCAAATTATGTGGTTGGTTCTGGAGAGTGCGCAGACTTCTGCCAAGAGCATCCCAGACGTGCTCGATGGGATTGAGGTCGGGAGACCTTGACGGCCAGTCCATGACGTTGACTCCCGCATTCTGAAGGAAATTCCTTGTCAAAATTGCTGTGTGGGGTCTGGCATTGTCGTGTTGGAAGATCAAACCGGGTCCATGTGCTGCCATAAAAGGCAGAAGTTCTGGTGCCAGTACCTGGTCGCGGTAAGCAGCAGCGTTGAGGTTGCCACGGATGACAAGAAGCCTGGAACGTACATTGCCACAGAAAGCACCCCACACCATGACACTTCCGCCTCGAAATCTGTCAACTTCCTGTACACAACACTGGGCGTAACGTTCATGACGACACCTCCACACCCTCGCCCTACCATCAGCAAATCGAAGATTAATCGGGGTTCATCACTGAAGACGACTTGATTCCAATTCCTCTGAGTCCATCGTAAGTGTCGCTGTGCCCACAATTGACGTTGACGTCTGTGTAATTGAGTCAGAATCGGCCCGCAGTATGGCCGTCGTGCTTGAAGGTGAGCAGTTCTCAGAGGGTTTCGAACAGTTTGCGCACACAGTCTACCCCTAAACAGTTAATTTCTGGTTGATGTAGCCGTCAAAAATCGGTAACGGAGGTGACGTAAGACAATCTGACGATCCTCTGCATGTGACGTCACACGTGGTCGACATGGCTGAGGGCGATCAGCGGTGGTACCCGTTTGCTGTAGACGCGTCTGTAAATCATAAACAGTCCGTCGACTACAACCCATCGTCCTTGCGACTTCAGCTACGGACGTTCCCGTCTGCAACATGCCGATGGCACGTTCACGTTGCACATTTGAAAGGCGTGGCATGACAAATGGCCGTAAAGACTTTTGTTTTCTTGTGTTTTTCTTTTTTTGTTAATGACTGCTAACAAGTATGGCTGAAAACACGTGCGGTATTATGGCCACGTGACCAGTTGCACGTGAAAAACAACTTTTGCCACTATAGTGCTGTGCACAGGATTTTGATCGATTCACCTGCACAAAAACGGTTGTTATCTGAAGACAATACGTGGCCATTACTGTTTAAATACACAATAAGGGCCCACAATGATAACTGGTCAAAATGTTAAAATTTTAGGATTGTGAAGTTTTTAATTTGGTTCAGTATATATTTCACTACTGATAAAAATATTTGCAACAAGGCAATTCGAAATTATTTCAATCACTTTTTTTCTTATTGTCGAAAAATAATAAAGAATTTCTTGCTTTCAACTTGAAATGGTTTCTATCAGTATATAGTATGTATCTACCCTGTGGCTACGAATTACTTGTGATTTGTGGCCAGTTCCTCCTTATATTATTAGCCGTCCACCAAGGCCGGAATCATTTAGCCTGATCGCCTTCGTCGCCCACAAGAAATGATTACTGAAGAACTGTGAAATCCCTCTTGCAGATAGAACGCCTTGCCTGAAATATGGGAAGTTACGTAGTCAATACTTTGCAAGAGAAGTCAGTTCCACACATAAAACACACTCCCTTCCTTCGCTATAATTCTTAATGTTATAAATCATATATTCATTCCATACATATCACTATATCAAGACAGACATACAGATGACAGAACGCCAACATATCGATAGTTCTGAGATAAGAGGGCAAGCATATCGTGGTTCATAAAAATCATTTATCATCCAAAACTGGCTCCCACAGCAGAGATCAAGCGATATGTACATTATCGATATCGCTGCAATGAACTTTCATCACAATGCTTCGCAGACCATTGTGACGTCATTGGTTACCATGACATCACTAATGACTCTGCTACTGAAGCTGCTTAGCAGTACTTTTTACACTTAAGACACTGCTTATTACTGTCTACAAAAAGTTGGAAGAATGATGTTGGATGATAAAAAGAATCTCACCCGAGTGTCTTTTGATATCAAATATATCAACACTCGTTGATAACAGGGGAAAAGCTCATCGGCAAGCCTAGGAGTTTTTCTACTCTTATCAACTCGTGTTGATATATTTGATATCAAAAGACACTCGGGTGAGATTCTCCATATGTGCCCTAGGGTCATATCACGTCCGGAGACTACAGTGTATTGTTTCCGTTATCGGGACGGCATTGTTGACGTCATTCGAATCTCATTGTGACGTAAAGTCGGAATGACGTAACACTAGAAACGACGTCATAGCTGGATTGTTGACGTCATTCGACAAATTGTTGTTGTGCCGCTGTAGGGACTTGCTGTAATCACTAAAATTCGTCTCTGTGTGTAGACATATTCTTCGGTAATAAATAGAACATATTCGCTCTCGCCCGGGAAATACCGGAATTTAGACACTCGTGTCGTAAGCATAGTATGACTTCAACTCTCATATAATTTCCTCTATATATCCAGAATACAACATATTTTGTCTTGGCATCCAAATAATAACTCTTGAGTCATATCAATATACTTAAGTGGTGCAAATAAATTATAATGGTTTTTTTATTACATAGAACGCATGGCCATGCGTACGATATCCGGAATACCAGGTACTAAAAGGGTACACTTCTAATATTCCGACCACCTCCGTGGCCTAGTGGTAGAGCGTCCACCCGGCGAGCGGAAGGTACGGGGTTCAATCCCCGGCCGCGTCATAGCAAAAGACGTTGAAACGGATGGTACTTGTTGTTACCATGTCTGGCGCTCGGCAGTAAGGGACTAAAACAAGGACTGATCGGCTCGGAGTAGGGGTATTAATGTTTAACTGCGGCATGGTATCTCATTTGGGTAGCACTATAAATCGGCATCAGTCCGGCCTAGTACAAGCACACACACACACACACACCCACGTGCATGCACGCAATATAAGTGCAATAATCTTGGAGGCGACGTTAAACCCCATTTCTCCCCACATAATATTCCTCTTAGTTGTTCTCCAATGGTTTACGCGCACTCGTGACCATTCGTGACCGTTTTAACTTCTTGCGCACTAACTGTTTGCTACAATTGCCGTTTCGCATGTGGTCAGCTCCAGAACAATTCGCCCTCATGCATATGTAGCACGCGAAGCCGGGAGGTCGCACACAAAGGAGACACTGGAATGTAAGTAACTGCAACAGATTACTAGAATACATCGCAAGCTACTTCGAAGGTAGACCATCAGATAACGTCTGCTTTCAGAGTTGTGTCTCATTTGGTAGTGATACCAGCCATTTATACGTTTTATTGCACTGAACGAATCTCTATTTTTTAGTCCTGGGTGACGACCAGATATCGCCGAGGATTAGATATCACTAAGGGTTATAGCTAAAACCGCACCGCGCCAAATCGGCATGTAGCGGAAACTGAATCTTGACCTGTTGAAACTTGATATCATGTGTATACGGTTTTATAGTTATAAATATAAAACATTAAGTATGTCATTCACTGGAGTGATGGAGTGAAATAATGTTTTTTAAGGTATTGGAAATATTGGGAAACAACATGTTTTGCCATAGTGTGTTTTCACAAGGTTACCTGTACTGTTGATTTCGGGGTATATTCAGTTCATAAACAAGCCTTTTCATACAAAACCTTGCATGTGAAACATTAATCTATCAGTAGCCGAATATGCATATTTGCATTATTATAATGCCCCAAATCAATACCCTTAAGCATGCTTAAAGTGCTACATTATTACCCAGGTCAATGATCAGTGTGTGCTCGATTTTCATTCTCAACTCCCTGGGGAGCATACCACCCAAACTTCCTGTGAGGTGCTAGCAGGTCAACATTCACATTACCACATTAGAGTGCCGCGTTAAACAACAAACATTGCCACATTTCCATCCCTTCCTATTGGGTATCCATTAAATGCTTAGTGAACAGAGGCATATTTTGAACAATGTTGATGCATATGGCTATATATGACTAATAATAACCCATTAGATATATGTTGTGCTGTCCTTCTTGTTGTAAGGTAAGCAGTGAATGCATTAAGGAGTAATGCAGGATAAGTATACAAATGTAAAAAATATTTAGATTTGACTAAATATACATTCTAGGGCTGGGACGTGTCAAATTTACCACCCAGGTACCCAATCCCCTATTATCCTGCACTACCATGGTACCTGCTGTAGGTCTCAAGAGATGGGTACAAAATGTCTGATTGGGAATAGTTTGACTGTAGCCCTGGCAAAATGTGTTTAGATACACGTATAAAACAATCTGGTCATACATACACTGAAGTTGACTGAAGCTTTATCTTCATTCAAACATATAGAAGTCAGAAGGAAAGTGTGCATTGTCAGAAACTGCAAAGGTATATTTGTGAATGAGTCAGTTAATGATATTTGCAGTTGTTTACCTGTGATATTGTGAATGCAAGTGGCACTGTTGTTAGATTGCAGAAACATGGCTGACTGTGTAGCAAGCTTTTTTGACAAATATGGTAAGAAAAGCAAATTCAGAACAGACAAATATTATTGTATTTTACAAAGAAGGAGTTATCAAACAAACCAGAAAGTGATGGTTCAAAGGTGAGAATGTGAGGATATGGTGAGAAGTACTTTAGCACAACCTGATCAGGTGTGTGCATTTAGAAAACGGTCCAATCAGTTGAAAGTGTGCACACTAAGATCCTTAGAAAGTTATTGTCTGTAATGGGGCCTTTACACAGGATGGCGACCTTTGTGCCTCCCGTGTGCGACCATAGAATTTGCCAGGTCGTCGTTGGACGCTCAAAGGAGGCAGAAAGGTTGCCTAGGTCGTTCCAAGGTGGTACACATTAGGTTGAGACATCGCCATGGACGCCATGGTCGCCGTGAAGTTTTGAACATGTTCAAAATAGTCGCACAAAGGTCGCCAAGGAGGTTGGTTGCTCAAAGGTGGCTCAAAGGAGGCAGAAGGGAGGCACAAGCATTGCCGTTGTTGCAGAATGAAGGCCCAGTGGTCGCCCAATGGTCGTCAGGTAATAGATGCGTTCTGCTGAAATATTGTCCCGTAAATCTGGGCGATGCTTCTGCCTCCCTTGTGCCTTCTTTGGGTGACCAACAGCGTGCATTGAACGATGAGTATGGCGACCGCCGTGCCTCCATTCGGCGATCATGGCAACACTTGAGACACCACGGCAATGCTTCTGCCTCTTTTCAGCCTGCCTTTAAATAGAGGGCTTGTACCTGCAGTGTTTCATTGTGGTTGCAGACGTTGAGCAACTCGAGCAGTTACTGCTGAACAACTGCTTGAGCAGTTACATAGAAACATGATTTTCTTGGTTTAGGCGACCACTGAGCGTCCTGGCCAGCTTTTGATCGCTCGAAGGTGGCACAAAGGTCGCAGCCCTGTGTAATGGGGCCTTAAACACAATGGAAGTAAGGCAGCTGTTTATGTAACCAACATTTTAATGTGATAAATACTGGATGAAATTGTCATATGAATAACGCCAAGCATCATGTTATACCAGTCAGATGAATCTGGCAAAACCACATGGGCCACTTGTGTAGATACCTGTTGTACACCCAGAGACCATATACCGGTATATAGACTCTGGTGACAACTAAGGTTTTGGCTTTGCCTGGATAGAGCAAGATGTGGGTGATCAACCCTGTTTTCTCTCCATTGTTAGACGGAGAATAGAAGATTGATGGAGGCAGACATGATCTGAAAATGTAAACATAAGCAGCAAACTTGAATATTACAACTATATAAAATCTGCGTTAGAGCCATCTGTCATGTATATATAATAAAAAGTTAAGGTGTTCTTCAATAGATGCCAATGTGGAAATCTCAAGCTATGTATGGATACAGGGGGCTGAGCAGGAGGAGATCTGTGTTGTAAATGTTGTAAATGTTGTCAAAGTGTCTCAGTATGCAGTTGTAGAAGATTAAGTACATTAAATGTGACTGATTGTATGTCCACCTGTATGAATATATGAGATGCAAGCTGTTGCCATGGACATCATGGATAAACAGACAAGCATCTAATGAAAATCACTTCGTCAGGGCTATGACAGATATTCACTTGGTAGATATGACTGCTCAATTCATTATGAAGTGTACAAAGATCCGAAAATTACCATGTACATAAAGAGAGTTAATGTATGCATATTGTACTGTTGATGCTGTGTGTCAGATGAGTCTGGTGAAAGGGGGAAATATTTTTGAGTTTCTTTGTTTAACATTTATACTATATTCTTTTATACTCCAAGTATGTTTACAGTGTTACACATAAAGTGAGTGTATAGTATATTATATGAGGGTTTATACATTGTCGATCAGCCACTAGATCGGGATCATTGTGGATCAGGGTGGTCAGACTCGCTGACTTGGTTGATGCATGTCATCATATCCCTATTGCGTGGATCGATGCTCATAATATCAATCACTGGATTGTCTGGTCCACACTTGATTATTTATAGACTGCTGTCATATAGCTGGAATATTGCTGAGTGCGGCGTTAAACAACCAAACAACCAACCCAATAAATGAAAGCGCAAAAACCCTCTCCATATTCATAAGAAATCTCTGCTAAAAGTAGAGTCAATTGTACGATTCCGACTCTACCATGGACATGAGTTTATGAACCACTCAGACAATCCAGTGATTAATATCATGAGCATCGATCCACGCAATTGGGATCAATGACATGCATCAACTAAGTCAGCCAGCCTGACCACCCGATCCCGTTAGTCGCCTTTTACGGCAAGCATGGGTTGCTGAAGACCTATTCTACCCAAGAATCTTCACTGGTCTATTTACTGGGTAACTGATACCAAGATCCATCACAAAAATTTTCAGTGTTTGACTGTCCTTTCTAAATCATCAGCTGGTTTCAATCTATTTGCAAATCAATAAGTATTTTTTGCCATGATACATATATCATATTATTATGTATGATCCCAGCTCTAGTTGTTATTGGTGGTGTTCTGTTGGAAACATCTCTAGGAAATGCAATAACATGATAAAGTTAAGTGACATCTCTTTTGTTTTCAGTGAACACCATCACGTCCACAAATTGATGATGGAAGCAGAAAGCCAGCCCCAGAATCCTGACTCTGTTCCTGAAACATATGTAATCACAGACTACGATGAAGCATTGCTGGAAACAGGTGATCTCCAGAAACAATCTGTTACAGACACATTGGAAAGTGGTGATTTCCAGAACCACTTTTTGGCTGACACAAGTGGAAACACGGAATGTGATGAATCATTGCTTGAAACAGGGAATGTCAAGAAACGCAGACGCCGTGGGAGGTCACCAAAGCAGCCTCACATGTGTCGGGAATGTGGGAGAACATTTGTCCAATCAGGAGACATGAAAAGACACATGCTTCGCCACAGTGGAGTGAAGCCTTATCAGTGTGGAGAGTGTGGAAAATCGTTTACACAGTCAGGGAGCCTGCACACTCATTTGAGGATTCACAGTGGAGTCAAGCCGTATCAGTGTGTTGAATGTGGAAAAGAATTTACGCAATCATGTAACCTGCAGTCACACATGAGGAGCCACAATGGAATCAAGCCTTATCAGTGTACCGAATGTGGGAAAGAATTTACACAATCATGTAACCTGCAGTCACACATGAGGAGCCACAGTGGAATCAAGCCCTATCAGTGTACTGAATGTGGGAAAGAATTTACACAATCAAGTAACCTGCAGTCACACATGAGAAGTCACAGTGGAATCAAACCTTACCAGTGCAATGAGTGTGAGAAAACATTTACACGCTCAAGCCACCTGCAGGCCCATCTGAGAATTCACAGTGGCATCAAGCCGTATATGTGTCGGGAATGTGGGAGAACGTTTACTCAATTGGGTGACATGAAAAGGCACATGATTTGCCACAGTGGATTGAAGCCTTTTCAGTGTGGCGAGTGTGGTAAAACATTTACACGCTCCGTTTACCTGCAGACACATATGCTTTGTCACACTGAATTGACGTCTCAATGAATAATGAGTGTGAGAAAACTTTCTAATGTATACACCACAACTGATGAATGATAAATCAATGACCGTATTATTAGTTAATCCTTGGAAGACAGAATGTTACGTGTTTTTGTCATGCATGGGCTCTTGACACCTAGAGATTTGTGTATTCAATTTACTCTATATAATAATCTCATTAAAATCAGATGTTCATGCTATCACTAAACAAAGATCTGAGGACATCCCATTACGGGTCACGTCAGAACGACTTTCATCCGACCAATCAAAGCGTCGCTTACCAGATCATGAAAGTAACAGTCGGAATGTGTTTTCTAATCATGCAACCTCGAAAATGTTAACACGGGGTATTCCAAACGACAGTTACGGCCCATACGGCTGATTCCGTCAAAATTATCATCTATCTATGGGATAAACATAAGAATGGAGAAGGCGTTGCACAGTACATGGGAAGCACTGCCATACAATCTCAACCATATATTAGACATTCCAGAATGTTCGTTTGTTCAGTTTTCTAAAATTTAATTGAGGACTGTGTCAACATATCTTTGAAGTGTAGTCTGAAATGAGTGTCGCCAGGATGAACGAGTGCCGTAAAAGTCGAGAAAGCTGCCTTCTAATAGGCTGATGTTGACTTCTTGTTAGTCATTTCAGTGGTTGGGCACAGTTCGCGAAAGGTCGTTCTGACGTGACCCGTAATGGGATGTCTTCAGATCTTTAACGGCAGCGTGAACTTAGATCTGATTTTAATGAGATTGCTCTATATAAAAACATATGTTGAAGAGTCCATAAAAGACTCCCTGCCTATATATTCGTTATTATTATCTTTAAAATGTTCATCCCGAAGGAGATTATCCATTACAAAGACATTTTTTAACAAGTTGTTACTCTATTTTGATTCAGAATCTTTGATTGTCATGCCAAAGGGAAATGGTTGCGAAAATCACACTTATTTGTACAAGTATATCAAAGTCTGTTGAAATTAGTATTTATTTCAATACATGTATGTATAATATATATGTAAAATATTTTCCCTGATCATAAGGGGACGGTTTTGGGCCATAATTTGGTCCGTTTCAGCCATAACCCTGCCCCAACTGCACGATGATGTCAGTAGAAACAATTCACTAAAATGTGACTTAAGTTAGAGTTTGTAGTTTTGTTTTTTCATGATTTTTCAGACTTGACGCATTTGCCAGGCTTTTGTGATACATGGCTCTATTCAAACTTGCATGGGGGGCACGGGTGGCCCAGTCATCTAAGGCGCCGCGATTTGCTGTGCAGAGTTGCGTCACTTGGGCATGCCAGAAACCTATGATTGTGGGTTCGAATCCCGGTTCGCCCCAATTATGTTTCTAGGTTTGTCAGCACCATACCCGTTCTCGTGGGTTTCACCGAAGTGGTAAACGTCTTAGACCTGCATCACTTCGGGCTTTCCTCCAAAATTAAGCTGACACGCCGCGATATAACTGGAATAATGTTAAAAGTGGCGTTAAACCAAACTCACTCACTCACTCAAACATTGCAAGGGTAAACCCTGAAGTGAGAGGTGGAAGGAACTTACTGGTGGGTGTCGTCAATACCATGAGTTTGAATACACTACAATGAAGGAATGACCATGAAAACTTGACATTAAAACCTGTAATCCAGTAACCTTAGAGTGAGTGAGTGAGTATGGTTTTACGCCGCTTTTAGCAATATTCTAGCAATATCACGGCAGGGGACACCAGAAATGGGCTTCACACATTGTACCCATGTTGGGGAATCGAACCTGGGTCTTCGGCATGATGTGGGAACACTTTAACCGCTAGGCCACCCTGCCACCAGTTCCCTTTATGACATATAGGCATGTGTATGTTATACCATGAAGAATGGATGATAACTTAGTGATTGTTGTTATGTACTTGTCTGATAATTTATAATGTATTTGCCTGAAACATAAGGGTAATTTCTGGTTTTGAGTATATGAACTGAACTTTATTCTCTGGCGTTGACATTGTGATTTTCATGTTACTAATTCTTCCTGAATAAATAAGTTGTTGAAATTATAATGAAATGAAGTTTGAGAATGTAGATGTATGGAACTTTATATCACATTAATACGTGATAATAATGTAAACATGAAATATAAGAGGATATCAAAACATGTTTGTGACGTAGAATATTATTATAGGTATTTCTTGTTGACAACGAATGTAAAATAAATGGTATCATTTTTCGATGTACCGGTAGAAAAGCTGCAGTCGCAGCTTGAATGTCAACACGTGGTCAATAAAGTGCATGACAAATTTACTGACATGATCAGACCTAAGAAGCATTTGGTCAGTTACCCTCTGGAAGCGGGACGGGTGGCCCAGTCATCTAAGGCGCCACGATTCGCTGTGCAGAGTTGGGCTAGCCAGAAACCTATGATTGTGGATTCGAATCCCGGTTCGCCGCCATTATGTTTCTAGGTTTGTCAGCACCATAGCCGTGCTTGTGGGTTTCACCGAAGTGGTAAATGTCACTTCGGGCTTTCCTCCCACATTAAGCTGACATGCTGCTATAACTGGAATACTGTTAAAAGCTGCGTTAAACCCAACTCACTCACTCACCCCCTGGACAATCCAGCAGCTGCCGGAGAACTGAAGGTCTGCGGTTTCAAACCGGCCATGTTATACCAAAGGAATTAAAAGATGATACATTGTGCTGCCCAGTGTGGTGCTCGGCTTTAGGGGATAAGTAACCTGTAGTCACACTCGTCACCACTCACCCCTTTCCGTAACCTCGCTATTCGGCTTGTCATGGAATAACACGAGTTGGTCACGAATGCTGTAGTCACACATAGGGAATCAAGGACTGGGCAGCTCAGAGTCCATACTGCGTCTGAGTGTGGTGTCAAACTGTGACATGGTATCTGAGTAGGCTATAAAAAACTGAGTAAAACCGGCATTAGTCCGGACTAGTTTGATCAGCCAAACATACCCACATGCATGCACATTGCTATATGTAACTGCAGTCATCATGAACGTGATACTTAACCATATTTCACCTCACCTCACCTCACCTCACCTCACCTCACCTCACCTCACCCCACCTCACCTGGACAATCCAACAGGCTAGACAACATTAACTGTCTCGTTGGTCTCACTTCCATAAGACAACTTGTCAGTCTAAATGACAGTGAGTTAGTGAGTGAGTTTGTTGTTTAACACCGCACTCAGCAATATTCCAGCTATGTGACGGCGGTCTGTAAATAATCAATAATCGAGTCTGGACCAGACAATCCAGTGATTGACATCATGAGCATCGATCCGCGCCATTCGGATCGATGACATGCATAAACCCAGTCAGCGAGTCTGACCACCCGATCCCGTTAGTCGTCTTTTACGGCAAGCATGGGTTGCTGAAGACCTATTCTACCCCGGATCTTCAGGGTCCTGAATGACAAACGTGCATGATGTCTTCTGATTGGTTAAATGATAGGCATGATGCAAACGGAGATGCGTTCAAAGATGATGCTCGTGATACCTCAAGTGAAGTACAGAAACTTAAGTAGGAACTTACACTTTGTTTTCGATGCATCGATAGCATCTTCAGAAATACAAAGTTTCAACATACAGGAAAGACGAGGTAACATGAGGGATGCATTTACACTAATAATCATAAAGTTATGATCAGACTGCAACCTCCAGATCTTTTTTGAAATGAACCGCCTCCGTGGTCTAGTGGTCTAGCGTCCGCCCGGAGAGCGGAAGGTCCGGGGTTCGATCCCCGGCCGCGTCATACCAAAAGACGTTAAAAGATGGTACTTGTTGTTACCCTGTCTGGCGCTCGGCACCAAGGGGCTAAAACAAGGACTGGTCGGCTCGGAGTCAGTATACTGTGTCTGAGTGGGGTATTCATGTTAACCTGCGGCATGGTATCTCAGTGAGCTAGCACTATAAATCGGCATCAGTCCGGACTAGTACAAGCAGCCACACAAACACACACACGTACATGCACGTCGCTATATAAGTGCAATAATCTTGGACGCGACGTTAAACCCCATTTCACCTCACCTCACCTCACCTTCTTGTAATGAATATTGTGTCTCTTAAAACTTTAATTACATACATACCAAACTATTTTGCTGTAATATGTTTCTGAATGTTATTTTGCTGTAATATGTTTCTGAATGTTAATTTGCCAATTTGCGCGTTTGTGATTGTTTTTGCTGATGGACCCATATTAACATAAAGTTGTGCTGGGTGACCAATCTATTTTTTCTGAATATTAATACGATTAAAACATAGTTATAACATATTACGTCTTACTGTAATTAACTTCTTCACATTTTAATAGTTACGATAAGAATAAGAGTGACAAGTTATTACTTTTTTCGTGTTTTGAAGGACATAAAAGTCAAACGGCTTACGAATTTAATACTTTTCATGCTTACAAGCTGCATTTGAAACAAATACAAAACCAGACGTCTAATTTCTGCAGGCATCAAACCGACTGGGTATTCTGTTGAAAAGGGATAAAATTGGCTACTGCGCTGTCATCAACTTTCTCCAACTAAAACAAGCGGAAGGGTAAACTCCAAACAAAGAAGAAGACCTTCAACTGCCAACACTAAGGAGACAGTTGATGGAATACTTGCTATAATTATAGATATTCAAAGACGTCATGTAGATAATACGGCAGGTATCTCTCACGAGAGAGCTGAAAACATCCTGGGAAATGAACTGGACGTGACAAAGGTTACAGTACACTGGGTTTCAAGGCTTCTGACTCCGGATCCCAACTGCTCAAGGTTCATCCTCTCTCAGAAGAATTTATATCGTTTTGAATAGGACCTACCAGATTTTGATAAACAATATGTAACCATGAACGAGTCATGTGTCAATCGCTATCAGTCGGAGACTAAACAATAGTAAGTTTAGTTGTGGAGACATCTAACGTCTCCCCTGAAGAAGAGGGTGCTGTCGCGTAGCCTAGTGGTTAAGGCGTTCGCTCGTCACGACGAGGACCCGGGTTCGATTCCCGACATGGGTACAATGTGTGAAGCACATTTCTGGTGTCCCCCACCGTGATATTTATTCCTTTTTCTGGCGGCGTAAAACCACATTCATTCACTCACTCTGAAGAACGCTAAGTCTGTTCCATCAGTTGACAAGGCGATGACCGTGTTTTGGATTCCAACAGAATCCCACTTGTGGACTACCTTCGGAAAGGTCAGACCATTAATGGAAAACATTAGAATAATATGCTCAGGCAACTGCATGAGAACATCAAAACTAAACTCGACCTTAAAGACAATGCACCTGCCCACAAGTCTGTTGTCGCTATGGCTAAAGTGAAACATTGTGGCTCTGAACTAATTGAACTTCCTCCGTATTCAAGAGACCCAGGCATGTTCTCTCATGTTATACCAGTCAGATGAGACCCGTGAAGATCCGGGGTAGAATAGGTCTTCGGTAACCAAAGCTTGCCGTAAAAGGCGACTATGCTTGTCGAAAGAGGCGACTAACGGGATCGGGTGGCCAGGCTCGCTGATTTGGTTGGTGCATGTCATCGATCCCAATTGCGTGGATCGATGCTCATGATATCAATCACTGGATTGTCTGGCCCAGACTCGATTTTTTACATTCTACCCCGGATCTTCACGGGTCGATCACGATGTATGAAGAGAGGTCAACATATCGAATTGTATAGTAACAGCGCCTAGTATGCTTCTTCGGAAATGTCAGAAGTTGACCAGACAGTTAAATCCGGGCACAAATTTAGATTTGAAAAAAATAAAAGACTTCGAGAAGGACACGAGTTCTGGACAAATTTCTTTGTGGAAAGAATTGTCATACAGCTACTTTTTACGTATGTATATTTACAATGTGCATACAGATGTTTATAACTCATCATTAAAGTAAAACCTTTATCGTCTAGCACAGTTGACGCACTAAAGTGAGTGAGTGAGTTGGGTTTAACGCCGCTTTTAACATCATTCCAGTTATATCGCGGCGTGTCAGCCCAAAGTGGGAGGAAAGACCGAAGTGATGCAGGTCTCAGACATTTACCACTTCGGTGAAACCCACGAGCACGGCTATGCTGCTGACAAACCTAGAAACATAATCGGGGCGAACCGGGATTTGAACCCACAATCATAGGTTTCTGGCGTGCCCAAGG